TCAGCAGGACTCCTTCCTAGACAGCTACTTCCCGTTCTGTATGTGGGAAACGGATTGCTCCATCCTAAGTGGAGTACTTTGCATATGTCCTTATTAAACTTCATCCTATTTACCTCAGACCATTTCTGAGGAGATAGTCACTTTGGAGTTTCTAATTTGACTTAAATCTAAATGGGAAGAAAAGAGGAAGAAAACAAAAGCAAAGACTATTTGAGGCTCTTTATAGCTTAGCAAGGGAATGCACAGAAGGGGAAACTCTCTAGCACTTTGAATTTACCATGCACCTTTTGCAATATGGAGTGAGGTTTAGGACTCAATCCACACTCTTTAGGAATCTGTAGAGGTTTCTACCTTTTTACCTCCCAGAGAATTATGTTCATGAACATTCAAACAGGAACCCTCATGATGGTATTGATCCAATCTTAGACTTCTGAAAAGCATTCTGCAAAATCTATGCAATACAGACCCAGACAAGCTAACCAAATGTTTCCCATGAATGTACTGAGTCCACTGAAGAAATGCTAATAGAAGTGGGCTTTTAGACCTCCTTGTAACTTATTTATTCTTTGTCCCTCCTCCCAAAATGTTTGTTTCACGTTGTTTGCAATTGTGTAGAAACATGGCTGACACACTTAACTATAACTAAGGTGGTGCTGAAGGGGGTTAAAGTTCTGTACTGGTAGGACTGCTTTCTGTAGTGGTAGATCGTATTTGTCAGATGTTCAACAGAGGAAGAACTACTAAACTAGATGGCTTGAGGATCATGGAAACTTTTACCTCTTGTCACACCTGACTTGTTCCAAGCTTACCAGAGAGCTAACCTCATTTCTGTCAAATGGCAGTTGAGTGGCTTGCTGAACTGTGACAGTGGCTTGCTGAACAAGTGACAGTGGCTTGCTGAACTGGATAGCTCCAGCATAGTAGATTAGCCACCCTCATGACCTAGAAGAGAACAGGATGGTAGCTTGCTAGTGGAACAATGTGGGTGAACTGGCGTTGCCATCTGTTCTTATCATAAACAAGCACATTCTAGTTTCTGTAGTGGCACCTTTCACAAACACTACATTCACTTTAAAAGAAAAGGGAGATTCCTGGTGTACCTATTTCTTGGTTTTCTAGACTAGGGTGGGCAAGTTACGGCCCACAGGCCAGATTTGTGCTGCCAGGCCTTTTGATCTGGCCCCCGTCAATGCCCCGATGCAGGCTCTCTGCTGCTCATAATGGCTGGCTGCTCCCTTTGCAGGAACGAGACTTCAAGTGCTGCCTCTGCCCCAATCATTGCAGCTCCCATAGACTAAAAAGTCTTTTCCGCCTTTCCCCTCTCCACTCCCCCACACATGGAGCAAAGAGAGAAACTGAGGGAGCAGGCAGCCATTTTGAGCAACCTGGGACAGCAGCAGGTAAATAGCCTGCCTCTGTATCCCACTGGGCAGCTGGCCGAGAGCCTTCTAGGTAAGTGCTTCCTAGCCAGAGCCTATTTCTAGCACCCACCTCCTCCCACATCCCAATTCCCTGTCCCAGGTCACCACTCAAACCTTCTGCACTCATCTTCCCTCAGGTCACAATTCCTTCCCAGATTTTGCACCCTCTCCTATACCCCCTCCTCCGGGACAGCCACCTGCCCTATACCCATAACCCTTCTCTGACCCTGCACCTCAATCTCCTGCCCCAAGTCATAATCCCCTTCTTCCCCCTCTCAGATGCCACACTCTCTCATGCACCCTACTTTCCTACCCCGAGCTCCCTTCTGCATCCAGCCTCCATCACAGGCCCCACACCTCCCTTATAGAAAAGTGCAGCCCTTGATCACTTACCAAAGTCTTGGAGTCACCCTTCATCAAATATTACTGCACAGCCCCTGTTCTAAACAGTCTGCATCCCATATTAATTTTTTAGTCTTCTGCATTAGAAGCTGGTAAGCCCAAACTCACTGCTGCTAATAGAAGAATAATGGATTTTAATGTATAAAATTATTTTTAACTTTACAGTATCTTAAGACTTGTATATAAAGAGTACATTTTAAAGCACAAAATATGCCTTATTTGTCCTGCTATCAGGATAAACATATAGATAGTTTAATACAGAAAATAGGGAAGTGGGCCATGCATAAATGAATGAATATCTCCCAATCAGCATGGGATAGTTTTCTGATTTGAGGAAGCTGGCATGTAGTGTTAATATTGTTACAGAACAGCCCCAGTGTTGGTCCTCTTCCAAGTAGCCCCAACAAAGGCCAACGACTGCAAGGGAGGACAGTTAATGCAGAAAGGTCCAGTCTGTTACAAACTACATTGTCAGGGCACCGTGTTATAATGACGCTTGTTTTTTGCCTGTTCTATGCCCTGGAAAAGCTGTTTTCATAGCATCCCAGCCTCTTAATCTGTAATGTGGGTGGCGTGTAGGAGGGAATGTTGTTTTGCAGTCTGAGTGGCTCGTCTCTGCACTTATAGACCACCTCTTCCATGGAAAATACTAGGGATGTTAAATATAGGTTAATTAACTAATCGACTAGTCAATGGATTTTCGATAAGTGGGGGAGCCACAGCAGAGTTAGCTCCCTGGCCTCAGGAGCTAACTCCGCTGCAGCGCTGCCTTTTAAATGTATTAAGAGCCTTAAAGCGCAGCAGGGAGGACACAGCACGAGCCGGGAATCAGCAGGCCCAGCTCGCACTCGGTCCCCCCCCGCTGCACTTCTTTTTTTTTTTTTTAATATATTAAGAGCTGATAGGCTCTTAATACAGTATATTTAAAAAGCAGAGTCACAGTGTCTGGGACTGCTGATTTCCAGCTTGTGCCTGGTCTCTGCTACTCTCCTGCCCCCTGTGGAGATGATGGGGGGGACTTTTAACTCAGCTGTCCCCAGCACTGGCTCCTGCCCCTTCCCCTTGCTGCCTCTGACAGAAGCGGGGGAGGGGAGAGAGAAAGCAACTAGTTGAGGGCCTAGTCGACTATCTGATAAGCGTTTACTTATTGGATAGTTGACTAGTCGCTTACATCCCTAGAAAATACAAATGTGAGCAGCAGGTTCGTTTGAATTGGGTGTCTGCATGTCTGGGTTTTGCTGCTTAAGCATCTATAACATTAGGGAGGTTTTATTATGTTCAGAGCTGTGTACTTCCAGCTAAATCCTGTTTTTACATAGTGGGTCTGGACAGTCAATGGGCCAAAATCTGTTCTTACCCAAGATGCTTCCAGCAGTTTAGCTGGGACCATATTTAGATAAAGTTGAAGCATTCTTAATGCTAGGCTTTGATTGTACTTAACAGTGCCTGTCTCATACATCTATAAAGCATTTGTTGGGGTTGCATTCTGACTTGCACTGTATTTTGTGTGATATCAGTTCTCTGCTTCCTTTTCAGACAACCATTCTTTTCCAAGTACATACTTGTTTCTTGCTTTCCTTCTCTTTTTATTGTGTAGGAAATAAAATCAGATCATCTTCCTGGGGACAGAGGGAGAAAGGAGAGGTAAATTTCAAACTTATTCAGGTATCTCTTATTTCTTCTCTCTCTCTCTCTTCACTAAGGTGTTTAGCGCATCATTTTAAACAACTACCTGCCAGTCTATGTATGGGTCTCTGATGTACCAACTTCACACTTCTAGGAGTTCCATTTTTATTACTCTTTCAAAATCCTTAAAATTTGTTTTTCCAAAACCCATCTCGGGCCAGGCACAGTAATCTGCTTTTTAAAAATGTACTTTTGACTTGAAACTAAATTCAATATGCGGGCTGCCCTTTAGAACGGGATATTTTATTATTTAAACTGGGGTAATGTAAGAGCACAGTCTAAGAGGAATTAGGAAAAAATGGTTTTTTGAATTTTTTCCAGTATAACATTAACAATTTTAGCTGATGTATCTATCATGTACTCATTAAAGGTTGCACTATGGAATTCTAACCCAATGCCAAGCTGATTTAACCACAGAGCTTTCATGGGAGACTTTGAGCCAATATGTGAAATATCAGCCACATATATTCTATTTTACTAACTTTATGACCTTATCTATGCAGAACTAACTCAACTATTTTTTTTTCCAAATTATCTTTGCCACCAGTGCAGTTCCAGAACTGTCTGTCACATCACACATGTGAGAATGTAATTTCAGCTGGTGGGAAGAAATCAGTAGAGCTTAAATGCTAGACAGTTGAGTTGCCATCCAGATATGTACGGTCTTAGTTGTTAATATCATTTAATCTCTCTTTTGAAGCTGGCATTGTTTGAGAGTTCAATTTCTGTGATAAAATATATCTTTGTAGTATGTGTGCATCACGTGTCTCTTTTAAGAAATCATTGTGCTATGGTGGTTGAAGAATGCTCTTGAACAATACTTCAAAGCAGAATAAATAGATTGTGGATCACAATTGACACAGAATTACAAAACAAAAAATCTGGAATAAAGTTATCTAAAAC